TATATTCATAAAAAAAGAAAAAGAAATCGGGAAAAAAATCTTGCCACTTCCACCTGTTGCACTTCTTGCACTTCCAACCTTTTCACAGCATGCCGTCTGTGCTGACGACAGTGCAAGGGCAATAGCAGAGAAAGGAGGTGTAGGAAGTCCAGATCTGCTTATGCTAATAGATCACAAGGTGGACCTTCATGCTTCTCAGATTGTTTATTATCCGGCCAGCAGTCATGGCTTTGCGTGTAGGACAGACAAAAGAACAGGCAAGGCATACAGCTGCCAGATCTCTCTGCTTACTTAAAAGACAAAGTGGGAGATTTCATGACCTTAGTCACAACACGGGGTGGATCTGGATCAAGCAGGGAGCAGTTGTCACAGGATAAGGCTGTAGCTTGGTACGTGGTTTGGCTCAGCACCCAAAGAAGGCAATGCCGCTGCCCCTGTCTTGCCCCAGAAACCCATGTTCTAGGCAGAGAGTGGAGACGAGCAGCAGCTACGGGGCTGCCAATGCCCAACAGCACAAAGTGACTCGGGGGACAAGCAAGCGAGTCTTGAGCCCAGGGCTGAAGGGGAGGTTTTGTTCAGTGTGAAAGGTTATCTGGCTGGAAGCATCAGCTAGCTTCTTGGTCCTTCCTCATGCTGCAGGAAAGCAGGCTATTAGCTGATAGTATACACCACAAAACAGAACTTTACCAGCCTCCAAAATCCGAAAAGAAATACAAACTGGAGAAGAGAAAAACATGAAATGGTCAGGCGCAGCAGATGGCGTTAGCTCAGGAAAGAGGGATACGACGGTTCAAGAATATTGCCTGCTCTGGTATCAGTTATGTTACCATTCTTAAGATTTAACTCCTCTCTATCACACCTTTGACAAATTATGGGGTCAGTTAAAAAAAAAAAAAAAAAAAAGGTTTTGGTTAAAATGGCAGATTTGTTCCTTTGGTATAAAAATACCACAGTTATGCCTGCTAAACTCCTGACCAAAGTGAGGTAAAGCTAAATATATAATAAAAAGAAAACACCTTCAGCTGTGTTGCACTCCAGTTAGCACAGTCTCTATGTGTCTTAGTGAGCATATGGGAGCCATTCCATCATCAACACTCATTTCTACATCCAAGTACTGACACATACACCATTACAATGGCTGTGGCGATTTAGAGGATGCTGTTGCAGAGGTAATACAACTACACTGGTTTGGCATAGGGAATCTTCACTAATTAAGAGAAAGGTGCACAAGTGAGGGAGTGAGGAAAGGGATGGTGGAGGGAGGTGGTGAAAGAGAAACCTGGCATTGTTTGCCTAAATATATAGGGCTAACATATAGAAAGAAGTCTTACTGTATAAACATGATGCACTTGGCAAGGGAATAACGAAGGGGCAAAGGCTTCTGATAATGCTGGTACGCGATGAGACAGTTTGGTTCAGTTTTCATGTCCATTTTCATCGAAACACATGGTTCTTCTTGGCAGGAGAGAGGCCAAAGAGAGAAACTGTCTGCACTGTACACTGTAACCATTGGCAGCATAAGGGTAAACTGTAGTTTGACTACACTAAAAAGCAGTAGAATTTGACAGTATTTCTGGATATACGCAGCAAAATCACCTCCCCATTTTTGGCAGCCTCACAGTCTCCCCATTTTCTCTCTGAACTATCAGGGACAATGCCCAGAGTCACTTTCACTCCCCATTCTGATCAATCTTTTAGTTATGAACACAGAATACATAGATCTGAGAAACAGCCTGGCAGCAGCCAGCAGTGTTGTTTTGCTGTGTGCAGGGTACAGAAAAAGTTCTTTTCTCACTGGGCAAAACCAAAAACTACAACCAGTGACTTGGTGTTATCCTAATAACTGAGAGAATTTGAGACCAAATCCCTCAAGCTTTCCTGCCTATTTCTGCACATGGAGGGATCAGAGAGAACATAAAGAAGAAAATTTGTTTATACGTTTTCCTACCTGTGATGCATATACGTATCCCAGAACCTAATGCATAAAACAGTGTTACCAAGCTTTGCCTTGGGATCCATATCTACAGACACATTCAGGGTGAAACCAATACCGAGATGTGTTCTTTGTGTAACAGCTGTGCTCTGCCCTATCCAGACATGACATTTCATTAAGCATAGGGTGATGGCTTGATTCCCTTGGGGAGCCACTGCTGGAAAACAGAACATCTCTTTTCACAAATAGGCAAGGTCACCATGTTCCACACATTCTTCCATGCACACTTTCAATTTGCAGTTGATACAGAGAAAATTAACTATCTGCTTATTAAACATTTCATATTAATGCAATAAAGCATTTTCATGTTAAACTAATTTTACAAAATCTGAGGAAAATCAGTGTTATATTACATTTCAACGCCATGTGCTCAGCATCTCCAGAAGACACTGAAAGGATTCAGATCTATGCCCAAATTATTTTTAGATTTCATTCTTCATGTTCAACTCTGAATTTGAAAAATTCCAAGTTAACAAACATTTTAAAAGTACTAAGTAAGGTACTTTGTCCCTTCACACTGCATTGCCCTTTCATTATTTACAATTTTTTCTTTTGTTTAACAGCAGTCACCTTCTGTTGTGTTTGCATGGACACACTGTGAGCAGGACAGTTCACAAATGTGATGCTTCAAAGTTTAAACCCCTGTAGACATAATCATAGAAACCACTCAAAATTTCACAGATTGTGCAATTTTGGGCAGAGCTATACAAAGAGAGATAGTTATCAACAGGCAATTTCTTTTGAAATATTGTAAAGACTAATAAAAATCTGGAGTCTCCATAGGACCTGAAAAACCTAAGCATTATAGAATGCAAATAATTCCTGTCAATCTGCTTTTAATTTTCATCTTATTTCATCCCAACTACTATTTTCATCTGTTTCTACAGAATATTTAGAAGCTGGCAATCTGTTTTTATCTATTTCTCTGGTTCCTGGGAAACTTCTTTTTTAGGATGTGAAAATGAGAAATGCCAGAGTACAACCCCATCTTCCTCCTTGAGGCACCTGAACGACTTGTGAACGCACTCCCCTAAAGTTTTCTCCTTTCAAGGCTGCAGGAACCTCACATAGGGACTTGCCTCCTGCTTTTATTCATGTCAAACCCATTGAAGCAACACTGTTGCAAGGTTCAAGGAGAGGTTATTAAGTCCAGTTTGCTGTTGGCATCTCCAAAACTGCTGACACATGCTAGGAAAAGAAAGGGTACATCTAGTACAGCTGCAACAATAAAACAGCTACTAGGGAACCTCACCTAGCGCTAACAACAACACTGAGCTCTGCTGAGCAACTGAAGGAATAAACCAGTAATATTTATGCAAACAACGCAAACAAAGCGTTAGAAGTCTTGAAAAATAGCTTGGTTCTTCATTTTCTTAGTGATTAAAAAAAAATAAGCAAAAACTATGCAAACACAACACATTTCAAATTTTGCTGTTTGATGATGAAAACCACTATCCACAGTCTTCAGTGACAAAAGCTGTAGAAACAGGTGAATAATGTTAATTGAAAGGAAAGTAATGAACAAATTGTGCACTTGTCAGACTTGGATAAAGCAACCAATGTGATGGTTCCCTTTGTATCATTTAATAACACAAAAGTTCTCCTTAATAAGGAAAGAACATACCCTCTATTAAAAAGACAAAAAATAAATTCTGTTGATAGGTATATTTGAGATTTTTCTAGCTTGATGCCTCAGGACAGTAGCAGAAATAACCTATGCCTTCTCTCAGCCCTACTAATCTCCTCTTCCAGACCTGTTTGTCTCTAAGTATGCTATCTATAGCTCTATTTTATCTCTAACACCCATAGAACTAGAAGGAACACTTTTCTGGACAGTCAAGTCCCGTTCACAGTTTTAAAACACCACTCTAAAGATATGTTGCCCTTTTTCAAATTAATTCCAAGTAAGTCCTTGCCTTGTAGGGCCAAAGCAACATTCGTATTGTCTATGTGCAAATTCACACCAGGAGGAACATCAGCTTGAACTCTGGTACTTATCAAAGTTGGAGAGGTCTGAGCACGTTTATGACCTTTCCAGTGGTCTAAGTTCTCTAGGTCCTCAGGTCACGTCCACAGTAGATAACTACCCTACTAGTGCCTCCTTACAAGCCTTCACGTTCAACGTAGCAAGAGGCTTGGGTGTCCTTCTCATGCTAGATACTTGGTTTTCTTCACCAGGGCAGCAGGCCAAAAGCTCAAAAGAAACAAGTGCGCATGGAAGGCATATGGGTCTTTTCTTCAATGCACTAAACTGACTTAACATACGCGCTCTGCTGCAGGCAGGTTTGGAAAACACCCTCCTCAGATGCAAGAGTATTTCAGCATTTCATAACTGAGGTTAAACTGTGTCTGATATCAAAAGACAGCAGATGCCCAACTGTACTGCAGCAAAGCACATCCCACTATAGGTCGCCAGCAGGCCTTGTCTTATGAAAGAAGTACCACAGTTTATGCTGGCAGTGTGTTTGTTTCACACCCCAACAAGGGCAAGGAGTAAGTTGTGATGGGCTCGCACTCAATTTTATTTTTGAATACTAACATTTGAACACTAATTTTTAAAATAGAGAAGGAGAAAAAGTAGTTCATGAAAGCAAAATGCTATCCTTCTTGCAACAAAAGCATTTGGTAAAAGTTAGTGTTAACCATGTGAACACAGAACACTTATTATCAGTAATTTCATAAAAGTTGTGCCACTTTTACGGTAATATGTTTTTGCAAAAATGAATCCTCAACAAATGGCAATGTGGAAAGGAATAAGAGAATTACATCACTACAGTTTTAAATCCTGCATCACTATCAAAAAGAGGCAGATTTGAGTTCATTCATGCGCAATTCTTTTTGTATTTAGACACAACACAAATACACAGAGGTTAAAGCCCTAGAAAGTATTTTCTTCTTCATGTGTAGAATATAAGAAAAAGTCCTCTGCTGCACCCAGCTAAACAGATTTCCATTTAGAGTCTAGAATAAAATAATAAACTTACCTTGCAATAATAAATAAACTTACCTTGCATTTCAACATATTTGCCACTCTCTCTTGCATTGACTGTCCAGCCTTTGGCCTTACAAGTATATACACGGCTTTCACGTCAGGGCTGGAGCGCAGTAGCTTTTCCACCAGTACTTTGCCCATGAAACCTGTAGCTCCTGTGATGAGGACAGTCTTTCCATTGTAATAAGCTGAAACTGAAGACATCGTGTTCTGTTGTTGTGTCCTTCCTTTAACTTCTTACGGAAGGCACCTGAAAAGATGCAGAAATAAGGCTATAAAAGGCCATGAAGTTTGAGTCAAGACACAGATCAGTTATTTAGGAACTATAGTCTGAGATTACATTTCCTAGTACACCAGCTAAAGCAGTTTACATTAGGTCAGTCAATGACAACCTTAAAGATGATTTTCTCAAGTATTTATTATGAACATAAACTACAACAAAGAAAAAGGTTAATGTGAAAAGCTTAAAAATCAAGTTCAGCTTCATCTTCTATATTATGCTATAGTTGCACCTAGAAGTCATAATTTAGACTATAGCTTATGCTGTCCAAGACTTCTAGCAGAAGACATTCACTGCAGCGTTGAACAGCATTTATCTCATAGATTGTGAAGTGGGAACCACGAATAGATGCCATGATTGTTGTAAGTTCACAGACTAGGTCAGTAATACAAAAGGAAACAGAAACGGATCTCCTAACAGACATCACACATGCCATGCTAGATCACACAAACTCCACTGCGACAGGTGCTTCCATTTCTTGTCAGTCACCACTTTGCAAATTGTGTTCAGTCTTCTCCTATTGTCTTTGATTTGTGGCAAACCCATGGAGAAAGTTCTTCTACGTGGAAGATACAGTGCCATGACATTGCTTTGGAATATTGCAATACTATGCTCCTATGTAGGCCATCATACATAACCAGATATTAAGGCCCCAATTTGTCCCACTTAACTCTGAGAACTTAATTGAGGTACTTAGCTTAGCAGCTTACGTGTCATATGCTTTCTTGACGGTCGATGGAGAGATTTTAGGTACATTGAACTGGCCTCTGGAGATCCTTGGCCCCTTCCATTGACTTATATAAGGGGGCTGGCACATGTCTGGACTCCCACATGAAGTGTCCCAGTTAAGTTTTATAATTAGGTGCAATGGTTTCAGTCCTACATGTCCCCAGCCATCCCAAATCAAACTCTAAGTCAATTAAATGACAAAGCTGGACTGAATCCTCCCAGAATAGCCCCTTTCTCTGTTAGACTAACTGAAGGGAAAAAAAAAAACAAATAAAACCCAACCAAACAAACAAACCAACTCCTACCACTGTCTTTAAAGCATTGCAGAAATCACAGCATGCATGAACTAGACTGCCTCCACTGCAAGGGAAAGGATCATGTAAAATAGGAATAAACATTTTGAAGCAAGCCTACAAAATCTGAAACAAAAAGAAAAAAGAACGGTAGAACCCTTTCAGTCAGATGCTCAGGGATTGTAGGAATGATCTGCAGGTACCCCAGAAAAACTTCTCCTCCTCCTGCAGAAGCTTCAAAGACAATCTTGGCCATTTTAAATTTTTCAACACAATGCAAATGAGCTGCATATTAATTCTTCAGCACCAGAAACACAAATATATAGAAACAGAAGTGTAGATTTCTGCATTTTTACAAAGGCATTAGCACCCACAGGAGTTAAAGTGATCTGCAGTCTGTGTTAATGTGCTGGCATCGTCTCGTTCTATAGCAGAGGCATCTACCCCGACCTGAGTTTCCATTCCTACAAATCTGCAAGTTTTCAGTCACAGTATGGCTACATGGAAGCGTTAAATGCCTATTTCCAAAGGGCTATAACCCAGACATGTAAATGAGAGACTCAAGCCCAGCAAAATATTGCTCGTTCCCTAGTGATACCAGGAACTGCAGCACCCACATTGGAAAGAAAATACCAAATTTGAAAGAAATTTATAATGAATCATCAGGTGTACCATCCATTTTAGAAAGTGGGTCAATCAGAAACACTTCTGAAGGATGTGATTTTACAAATTAATAGCTGTGGGTATTCTGATTTGGTAAATTCAGGTTTTAGCCTACTTTCAGGTATGGCCTAGTTCACAGTTTAAACGAATGCAACAATCTCATCTAGGGCCTATTAAAAACGTATTCTGTCAAAGAGCTGGCCACTTGGGAAGCTAGATAAACAGGTTAAATTATTAGATAGTTAACTTATTCATAATAGATGAACACCACATCTCTTTCAGGTTGGGAAAAAATGAGGGATATTGACAGAAATTTGCAGAACCTGGAAGTGTGTGACAGTATGCGCGAATCTAAAAGAATATTTTACTTTAGTCAGAGTGAGATGGAGGTGACCAAACATTTAAGAAATTTGGTATGACACATGCCCTGCCAACCAGACAAAGTAATGAGATTATCTCATGGCTTAGTTACCAGAAGAAATAATTCTACTGAACATAAAGAAACAAAAAGATGAAATGTGAGACAGTTTCCAGTCACAGTGTACATTGCTTTGAGCTCATTTTCAGAAGGTCAGTTAAGTTCAACCTAATCTCAGTATAGTTTAACTACTTTACTCATTTTACAGTATGAGATTAATGTTTCATACTACTCAGCTGTGTACTCTCGTATTCTGCTAGCAACGTGGTACATCTATAAAGTACTTGCACTACAGACTTGGAGATTACCACAATTTTTAATAGGAATTCTTCTTCTCACACTTCAATAACACAGAACATTTTCAACCTGTATCACCATACGTTAGCTCTTTGCATTATAGTTGTAGACTACAACAAAAATAGCTCTTAAGATTTCCAAATCTGGATATCAATTTATTATGTTGTTGCATTTGGGATCTCTGAGTTATCCAAATGAGATTTCATGTGGACAGATGTTCAATGCTTTCTAGAAGAGTAAAAAATAAAAATCACACTCCCTTAAAGTATCCCTAAAATTACCCCTGCAGCCAGATTTCATTAAGTACTTCTGGCAAGGGCTGCACAAGCCCTCTACAAGCCTAACTAACAATTTTTCCCCATGTAATTTAAGGCCATTTAAAAAGTTTGCCTCCAAAAAGTCAGGAAAACAACTGCATCTTCAAAACTATTTCTGATATGCTGATAATTCAGTAAATTGAAGGTCATCACTAAGCATCTGGAGAACAAGAAGGTGATCAGGAGTAGTCAGCATGGCTTCACCAAAGGGAAATCATGCTGGACCAATCTGATAGCCTTCTATGACGGAATGACTGGCTGGGTAGATGAGGGCAGAGCAGTGGATGTTGTCTCCCTGGACTTCAGCAAGGCTTTGGACACTGTCTCCCATCACATCCTCCTAGGTAA